TCTGCTTGTAAGCATGATTGTGTTATGGTGTCTTACGGGTTTCTTAGCCACAGTTCTTTTTTCCTTTTCCATGTTCCTCAGACTGGATAATTTCAGTGGACTTATCATTTATGTTTGCTGTTTTTTTTTTTTCTTCTGCCTACTCAAATCTGCTGTTGAGATTCTCTAGTATATTTTTAGCAATTGTAAATTTTAACCCTAGAATTTTCATTTGGTTCCTTTTTATAGCTTTTAGTGCTTTATATTTAGCTTTTTGAGCATATATAAGATAGTTGATTTAAAGTCTTTGCCTAGTAAATTCAGTGTCTGTGCTTCTGTAGGGGTAGTTTCTATTAATTTCTCCTGTGAATGAGCCATGCTTTCTTTGCATGCTCTAACTTTTTTTAAGAAACTGAACATATTTAATATAATGTGGCAGTTCTGGAAATTAAATTGTTCTATCAGGACTTAATTTTGTTGCTTGTTATATGCTAAAGCTGTTTTTTATTTTTAATATTTTTCTAGCAATTTTTGGTGAAGTGTGTATTCTTTTGTCGTGTAGTTTCTGAAGTCTTTGTATCTTTGCTTTGTCTTTAGTTAGTGTTTGATGAAGATTGCCTTGGACACCAGATACCAAATAATTAGAGAGAAAGAACAAAAAAGGAAAGAAAGAAAATAGAAACACCTGTCTGTGTTTGCAGATAGGCTGTGTACTGGGCATTCCATCAGTGGCTAACCAGTTTGTGTGCACCTCTGCCTTAGCTTTCTCTTCCTGCTTGCACTGTACCTAGAGAAAACTGTTGATGAAAGATTAGCATCTGCTCAGGTCTTTTTCTGTTTTTTTTTTTTTTTTTTAAATTAAAAGTTTTTTTAATATAGAGATGAGGTCTGTGTTGCCCAGGCTGATCTTGACTTCCTGAGCTCAAACAGTACTCCTGCCTTGGCCTCCCAAAGTGCTGGGATTATATGAGCCACAGCAGCTGGCCTGCTCAGGTCTTTTCTGAGGATTTGCCCACTTTGGCCATGCTTGTGTCTCTCCACATACCCTATCCACTCACATACTTTTGAATGCACCACATTCTCTCCAGTTTTTCTTCTTAGTTTCTTGGCACTCTGTTGTGTGCCTCATCCTGTAATCTTTTACCTGAGGCATCTGTGGGTTGTTTGTTTGCCTTACAAGGATTTTGAGGGCACTTTTCTGTCCAGAGTGAGTTCTACATTCTTTGAAAGAAAGAAGAACAAGCTCATTTCATCAATTCCTTAAGTAGCCTTCATACACTTTGGAATGGACAAACTGTTCTTTGCAAGTGAAGTCTACTGTGCTCCTTTTGGAATCAGAGGTTTCTTCTAGAACTTCTTAACTTAAAGCAAGCATGGGACAAGGGAAAACAAAGATGTCCAAAGATTTCTTATTAGTTTTAGGTTGTTTTTTCTTAGTTCAGTGTTTGTTTGGTTGCAGAAACCCTTTCACTGTCTTCTAGAAGGGTTCTATTAAAATTGTTTTTGACCATTCCTGCTTGATTTTTTCTTCTTTTTTAGTCAGAATCTCACTTTGGCACCCAGGCAGGATAAGTCATTCCTCAGCCTCAGGTAATGTCTTCATGCACAAGAACCAATCAGTACTCTACTGAATCCCAAATGGTACTTTCTGCATATCTCTGGGTTTTCTCTGTGAAGAGCTCTCATTTTCGATTCTGTCTCCTGCAAATTTTTGCTGCTTTGTTCTCATCATAAACTCTGGAAGTTTCTTGGACCATAATCTGGAAAAACTCTGAAAACATACGTTGGGACAAATCTAGGGCTCTTCCTCTTGTTTCTTGTCTACTTGGGCTTGTTTCTTCATTAATTGACATCTCCAGTGTCTTGAAAGTCATTGTTTCAAGCAGTTTTGTCCATGGGATGTATGAATTGTTTCATGTAGGAGGTTAGATTTGATTCCTGTTATTCTATCTTAGATAGAAATGGAGATCTCTTACTATTACTTTTTTTTTTTGAGTCGGAGTCTCACTCTGCCACCTAAGATGGAGTGCAGTGGCATACTCATGGCCACCACAACCCCGACCTGCTGGGCTCAGATAATCCTTCTGCCTCAGCCTTCCAAGTAGCTGGAACTACAGGCAGGTGCCACTATGTCTAACTAATTTTTTAATTTATTGTAGAGATGAAGTCTTGCCAAAAGTTGCCCAGGCTGGTCTCAAACCCATGGCCTCAGGCAGTCCTTTTACCTTGGCCTCCCAAAGTGCTGGAATTATAGGTGTGAGCCACTGTGCCTGGCTGGTATTTTCATTTTTGAGAATGCTTTTGCTCCATTTTCTCTCTGACTATAGTTACATGTGTTTTAGACTGCTTATTAGAGTTTTCATGTCTTCTTCCCTTTTACTTTTGTGCCTTGTGCTAACATTCTATTTTCTTCTGACCTATTTTGTTCCCACTAATTCTCTTTTTCATCCACATCTAAACCATTTTTAATCCCACTCACTGATTTCTTAATTTCTGTGTTTTTCCTTCTGGATTTTTTTGGGGGCAGGGTTGGAGTCTCACTCTGTCACCCAGGCTGGAGTGCAGTGGCATGCTTATGGCCACCACAGTCTCGACTTGCTGTCCTCAGGTGGTCCTTCTACCTCAGCCTTCTGAGTATCTGGATTACAGGCATGCATCACCACGCCTGGCTAATTTTTTGATTTATTGTAGAGATGAGGTCTCGCCAAGTTGCCCAGGCTGGTCTCGAACCCATGGGCTCAGGTAGTCCTCTCATCTTGGCCTCCCAAAGTGCTGGGATTATAGGCAAAAATCACTGCACCTGGCTGGCATACTTATTTTATTCTATTTATTTATTTTTTGCTTACTTATTTTAAAATCTATATCTGCTAACTCCATAATACAGATCTGTTTTGATTTTCTAATTTCTGCTGGCTTTAATTTGTGTTGTCTTTTCTCTTGTGTGTTTAGTACTTTTTATTGTGCTGGAAAATATAATTAACAAATTGTAGAAATGTTTTTAGCCAGGTTAATATTAATTTTCCTCCAGAGAGGACATACATGGGGGGGGGACCCAAATAAACCTGTAATTATCTTTTGGAGGTCAGGTCCTTTTGTAGTACATTTGGAATTTTTTCCTCTGAATCGAACGGTCAACCAAAGTTTTTATCTGAAAGTTTTTAGAAGGTTGTGTCATGATTTGTAGAAGAAACACCCTGAGTTGTGGCAGAAAGGTGGCTGGTTCCTCCACCATGACAATGCACCTATGCTCACTGCACTGAGTGTTCAGCAGTTTTTGACCAAACATGGCATAACGTACCCCCCCAAGCCTCACCCTCCCTATTCACTTGATCTCTTCTTGAGTGACTTTTTTTGTTTCCCCATGAGAATAATCCTCATATGGAAATGTTTTGCCGATGTGGAAGAGATGAAACAAAAAAGTGGCAGAAGTGCTAAAAGGCATCCACATTGACGAGTTAAAAAAATTGTTTTGAGCAGTGGAAAAATGTCCTGATAGATGTATTTCATCAAACAGAGAGAACTTTGAAGGGGATTGAAGTTTAAATGTAAGAATAAATACACAATTTTTTATAAATAAATTCCATTTTGGGGGAGTATACTTTAATTTTCTTGGTGCCTTGGGGTACTTGTAATTTAGAATTACCTTAGTGAGATTTCAGAGTTTGAGATGATCAAAGCCCGGGTGCAGTATCATTCAGGGCCTATATACTTTTAGCTTATTCTTATACTTGCATTGCTCTTCGTTGTTACAACTGAAAAGAAGGAGGGGCTTACTAGTTCGCCTTCTTTCTGGTTGTTTGTGGATGTACATCCCTGTACTACCAGCCTTCTGAGTTTGTCAAAAGCACCTCACAGCTACATTGTCTGAAACAGGAAATGTTTCCTGGGCAGAGGTGGTCAAAGCTGTATCTGGGACTTTCATCCTTTTCCAGTTTTAGCCCAGTAATTTTTTACTCATGAAACTGTTTAATACCTTCATTTCAGTTATAAAAATTAAAAGCAACAGTAATATTTAATATCACCTTTTAAAAGTTTCAAATTTAAAATTACATGAGACTCTGACTCAAAAAAATTGGAATAGTAAAGTAATTGTTGTTTTCTTTTTTTTTTTGGAGTTGGAGTCTCACTCTGTTGCCCAGGCTGGAATGCAGTGGCACACTCATGGCCACTGCAGCCTCGACTTGGTGGGCTTAGGTGGTCCTTCTGCCTCAGCCTTCCAAGTAGCTGGAATCACAGATGCACGGCACCATGCCTGGCTAGTAAAATAATTGTTAATATTCATATTCAAAATATTGACATTAGTATAAAATTAAAAACTCATATTGATATTTAAAATTATTAAGACTAAAGTTTTAAAACTTTTAAGTATCAAACTTATTAAAAATTATTTGTATGGTGTTTCTTGGAACTAGTATTGTTCTTAGTAGTCTACCCTTGCAAGAAATGTTAGTGCCAAGGTGGGCGTAGTAGCTCATGCCAGTAATCCTAGCACCTTGGGACTCTGATGTGAGAGGATTGCCTGAGCCCAGGATTTCAAGACTAGCCTGGGCAACATGGTAAGACCTTATCTGTACAATAAAATATAAAAAAAAAAATCAGCCAGGTGTGGTAGTGTTGTGCCTGTAGTCCCAGATACTCAGGAGACTGAGGCAGACGGATCGCCTGAGCTCAACAAATCTAGGCTATGGTAGCCGTAATTGTGCCACTGATCTATAGCCTGGGTGACAGAGTGAGATTCTGTCTGAGAAAGAAAAAAAAATGTTAGCACCAGCATTTGGAGTCACAAATGTCTCCCTTTATGTTACTGTGCGTAATAACTGGAGAAATGATGTAAGAACGCTTTTTCAGTAGTGGCTTGACTATTCTCATGCAATGGAGATAAGTCAGTAATGAGAATTTGTTGATGGCTTTGTTATCTGTTTGCTTCAGTAGGCATATAAGGGATCTCTTTAGAAAGTTAATGATTTCATTTAATTTTTTGGTAAAACTGGAAATATGACATTATTTTTATTTATTTGTAGGTTGGGCTCATGTGGTTTGTGCTCTGTATATTCCTGAGGTACAATTTGCCAATGTTTCTACAATGGAACCAATCGTTTTGCAGTCTGTTCCACACGATCGTTACAACAAGGTACAGTGGATATTACTTTATTGCTGTTTGAATAGCATTTTTAAATTTTAGAACTGGGAGATAGAAAGGAATTTTTTGTATTTTAAGATTGTAGGCCTGCACTAAAAATTTTAAATTATAGGCTTCCATCTAATTCAGAGAGATATGGAAAAAACAGAATTACTAAACTACAGTTATTAAAATATATGTTACAGTCCAGGCATGGTGGCTCATGCCTGAAATTCCAGCACTTTGGAAGGCTGAGGCAGAAGGATTGCTTGAGGCCAGGAGTTAGACACTAGCCTGGGCAATATAGTGAGACCTCATGTCTACAAAAAATGTTAATCAGGTGTGGTAGTGTGCACCTGTAGTCCTAGCTACTAGGGAGACTGTTTTGGTTACTTAAACACAATATTTAATACCAATAGGCACACATTTATGCTTTAAAGTTTTAGGAGCGAGTGTCAGATACAGGGTATGTCAGATATAGAGGATGATTAAAGAAAAATGGAATCTTTAAAAAAAAGTATTTTTCAGCCGGGCTTGGTGGCTCAGCCTGTAATTCCGCGCCTTTGGGAGGCTGAGGTGAGTAGATTGCCTGAGCCCGCAGATACGAGACCCGCCTGGGCAGTGAGACCTCGTCTTTACAGTAAATCAAAAAATCATCCAGGCGTGGTAGCACATGCCTGTAATTCCGGCTACTTGGACGGCTGAGGCGGAAGGATCGCCGGAGCCCAGCAGGCGAGGCTGCGGTGGCCGGGAAGGGTCACTGCGCTCTAGTCTGGGCGACAGAGTGAGACTCCAACTCAAAAAAAAAAAAAAAAGTATTTCTCATTAGCTAGGTTATATCAGCATATATATAATATACACCAAATTAGTGCTGCTGTCCTTACTTTTCTGCACCTGTAGTGTAGAAGTCGTCCTCTGTATGAGACAACAAATCTACACAGAAACACAGAGAAGCTGTGTAGGACTAAGTAAGTTATATATTACTTCACTTTATTATTCAGCACAGTTTCAGGAAATTGACACAGAATGCTCACTGCAACTCTTATTCTGGCTCATTCTCCACAGGTGGCTAAAATCTGGTATCATCTGCATGCTGTAAATGAGACTTACAAGGCTACTGCCTTATGATACAACTCCCCCTGCAGCTTTCAGATTCACCAGGAAGATGAAAATGACACGGTTCTTTGTCATAGGCTATCTTTTAAGGGAAAGTGCAATCACCAGTGTTTTCATCTGTAGCACTAAAAACCAAAATGCTGACATTAAGCATGTAGTGCGTTGTCAGAAGTTAATGTGCTTTGTGCAAGAATACACACATGGGTGTTGGTCTATTCTTTTTTTGATGAAAAAGTGGTGAGGGTCACTTATCTGGATATGCTGACAGAATGGTTTTTCTCAAAACTGTTGGCAAGACTCTGAAAATGTAATTTTAGCAGGCTTGCTCTCTGTCTCACCTCCATCCTGCAGCATAGAAGTTCTTCATAGTCATCTTTCATGCTGCTGGATTAGGCATTTTGATTCTTGGACAAAGTTATGTTCAGTGCAAGTCAAAACTTATTAATTTGCTAGAAAGGTAAGTGGCAAAGTCACAATAAAATGTGTAGGTTCAGAGAGGGGTTTTGTAGTTGGGAGACAGATTTTTTACATAAGTAGTTAGTATTTTAAAAATAAGAAAACTTGAAATTTTATTTTATATTCATATAAGTATTGTGTCTATATTTACAACTATAAGGTCAATAAGATTATCTGACATGTCAAATAGAAAACAAAGCATCTAAAAGCACATGGTAAGGAGACATTTGAGTCACAAATTGGAATGAAATTTCAACCCTCAACCGTAATGTCTAGTAGAGCCAGGTAATAGAAAACCATAAAATATTGTCAAATAGAGATTAGGAAAAGGGCATCTAGCAAAAGTTTTAATTCTGACGATGCTGCTACTGATGTTTTTTTTCCAGCTACAAAGTTGTAGGAAACACAGTCCCTCCACCTCCATCCTATTACATGTCAAATTTATTTTTCTTTGCAAGTTCAAAGCATTGACCTACCCTGGAATTGTGACCACCTACCTACATTCCCAGATAACACACCATGTGATCTCTCTTTAATGGAATATGGCAAGAACCTTTTCTGTGTACTACCTCTCCCCCATGGTGAAGAAACGAATATCTTAGCTGCAAAAAGTCTGGGTGAAGTAGACTACTGAATTAATGCGTGTTATGTGACATTAGAGGCAGATAGATCATTTATAAGAGAAGATTAATAACTGTGATGAATAATTTTTACAAATTTGTTTTAATTTCTGAAACTGTCATCTACTTTCCATTGAGTTTTCTTCACATAAACATTTGATAGGAGTTTTTACCTTTATCTAACTTCTTGATTGATTTCTTTAATGACTAATATAAAAGTTTGGGGGCTTATTTCATTTTTACTTTTTCTACTCAGGGTCTCTGTTACCCAGACTGGACTATAGTGGTACCATTGTGGCTTACTGCTTCCTCAAACTTTTGGGCTCAAGTATCCTCCTGCATCAGCCTCCCAAGTAGCTGGGACTACAGGCATGTGCCACCATGTATTGCTAAGTTTGCTGGAGTTGCTGAGATTATAGACAATGGCCACTGTGCTGAGATTATAGACAATGGCCACTGTGCTCTGCTACTTATTTCTTTCTTCCTTTTTTTTTTTTTTGAGTTGTAGTCTCACTCTGTCGCCCAGACTGGAGTGCAGTGGCACGCTCCCGGCCACCACAGCCTCAACCTTCTGGCCTCCCGTGATCCTTCTGCCTCAGCCTTCCAGGTAGCCGGAACTACAGACACGCTACCATGCCTGGCTAATTTTTGATTTATTGTAGAGATGAGGTCTCACCAAGTTGCCTGGGCGGCTCTCAAACCCGTGGGCTCAGGCAGTCCACTTGTCTTGGCCTCCCAAAGTGCTGGAATTACAGACTGAGCCACCGAGCCCAGCCTACTTATTTCTAATTTTACTGTTCAGATGTTTTCTAATTTGTTTATAAAAGGTTTAATATTAATTCTACTTCTTATAACATTGTTTAATTTGTTTTATTAAATGTTTATTTTGGAAATTGCCATGTATATAAAAATAAACAATAATATAATGAACAACCCTTCCTCTTCACTCATGCTTTAATTCTAAAGCATAAAAAGCTTATAGACAAATTTTCGCACACCCCCTGTAGTAGTTTCTTAAGGCTGCTATAGCAGAGTACCACAAACTGGATGGCTTAAAGCAATATAAATTTATTCTTTTTTTTGCTTTGTTTTTGTTTTGACCCTTTACTAGGGTCTTGCTCTGTCACCCAGGCTATGGTGCAGTAATGTGATCGGTACTCATGGCATCCTCTAACTCTTAGGCTTGAGTGAACCTCCTGCCTCAACCACCTGAGTTGAGACTACAGATGTGCATCATGATGTCTAGCCAGCTTTTTGTTGTTGTTGAAGTAGTGTCTTGCCATGTTGTCCAGTCTGGTCTCAAACTCCTGGCCTCAAGTGAACCTTCTGCCTTGGTCTCCCATGTTGCCCACAGGCTGGTCTCAAACTCCTGGCCTCAAGTGACTTCCTGCGGTGGTCTCCCAAAATGCTAGGATTACAGGTGTGAGCCACTACGCCCAATCCAGAAATGTATTTTCTCACAGTTCCGGAGGCTATAATTCTGAAAGCAAGATTTTGACTGGGTTGGCACTCTGTTGATGAGATGCCCCTAGCTTCTGGTAATGGATATCAATCTTTGATGTCATTGGTTTATAGTAGATTAATCACCCCAATTTCTGCTACTGTCTTCACATTGTGTTCTTTCTTTGTGTCCCCATATGGCCATCTTATTAGGAGATCAGTCATATTTGAGTAGGGGCCTGCTTTATTCCACTGTGACCTCATCTTAACTAATTACATCTTCAGTGATCCTGTTTCCAAAGAAGGTTACTATCTGGGTTGTTGGGGTTTAGGACTTCACACACCTCTCTTGGGAAGACACATTTCAACTCATAACAGTCTGCCTTCTTGCCCTCCAAAAGTTATGTTCTTCCCATATGCATAACACCTTGCATCCCAACATCCACCAACATCTTAATCTTAATTCATTTTTATATCAACCCTTAAGTTCCAAATCTTATCTAAGAATAATAAACTTAGAAAGTCTCAGGTCTCATCTTCTGAATTGTCTAAATTGATATGGATAAGACTTTGGTTGCTATTTTTTTTTTTTTTGAGTTGTAGTCTCACTCTGTCACCCAGACTGGAGTGCCATGGCCGCTCACGGCCACCGCAGCCTTGTCCTGCTGGGCTCCGGCGATCCTTCCGCCGCAGCCTTCCAAGTAGCTGGAACTACAGGCGCGCGCTACCACGCCTGGCTAATTTTTGATTTATTGTAGAGATGAGGTCTCGTCAAGTTTCCTAGACGGATCTCCAACCCGCGGGCTCAGGCAATCCACTCACCTCAGCCTCCCAAACCCACCGAGCCCGGCTTTGGGTTGCTATTGAGGCAGAATTTCTCTCTATCTGTGAGTCTATGATACATAGAAAGCAGGTTTTCTGCTTCTAAGATACAGTGGTGGGAAAGGCATAGGGGAAACATTCCCATTCCAAAAGAGAAATTAGGAGGAAAAAAGGATTGCTGCTTTAAAACAGGTTTGTAACTCAGAAGGACAAGTTCTAAGATGTTCCAAGACTTGAAAATAATCCTCTGTGGCTTGCTGATCTGTTCTCTGGGCCTTACCCCTTTTTCCTGGGTTGGCAGCATACCCTTTTAAATCAAGGAGAACCCATGAGTTTAGGCTTCTGCATGCACAGCTCATTTTAAACTGAAGTTCAGATACAGGAAATGGACATGCCTCTTTAGCAGTGAAGTGTGTGTGTAGGGGTGGGAGGTTAAGTTAATCTATTCCGGAGTTGGTCTGGGTATAGGTTTTCTTGTTGGTGTGGTTGCCTTTGGTGTTGACAGGCTTCAGCCTCCTTTAGTAGTATCTTATGCTTAGTTTGGAGACTAGAAGATTGGGTTTTTCCCTACCACAGCATTTGTGTTCTTTTCTCAGCTTTCAGCTGTATCTTTCACCTGTGTCACAGAATGTGGTTTCTCTCTATGTTTTTCTCTTCATTATCCCTTTGCCCCCCTCCTTTAGTGCTTAGCTATTGTTTGTTATTTGGTGGTTTGGACTTGGAGATTTGTATGTTTTGTAGGACTTCGGCTTCCATTTTTGGCAGGCTCTGTGTATCTGGGCCTCAGGGTTTCACTGTTCCTTACCCTCCTCCCTATGGCCAACTTTGTTTTTTAACTGTAGTAAGATGTGTGAGGGAGAGAACTTCTTGCCTCTTCCCCAGCACTAGAAGACCTATGATAATGTTGCTACAGATTCTAGTCTCAGAATTTTTTCTGCCTCCTCCCTAGGGTAAGAGATGTTTTCCCTTTGTCCTTTTCATAACCATGGTAGGGCTTTTATATAGTGTCTGGGGGCAACATTTTGGCCAGAAGCTTAGGGCTTTTGAAAGAAGTGTCTGAGCAAGTGGTGGGATTTCATGTCTTTCCCTCAGTGCTGCCTGACACCCTTCTGCATGCCTGCACCAGCAAGGGAGGTTCTTTCCAGTTTGTCTACCTGCTGATCTTTCCGATGAACCTGTTGTGAAAGTCTATGGAAGAGAGCCTGTGAGTAGATGTGAACTCTTTTTGTGTCTATTTCAGTGGTTCTTTACTATTCTCTAATGAGATTTTAGCAATATCTATACAGTTTAGCTTGTTTCTTATCTGCTGTATGAGTCCCTGTTTTCTTTCTGTGCGTATCATTGTTGGGTAGTCTGAGTGTCTCATTGTTCCCAGGGGATTGTAGGGAAGAATATATGTTTCCTTAGATTTCAGACTATTTGGTTGCCTTGTGATGGTAGATCTTTCATAGTTTCAGGAAGAGTTGTGATTTTCTAGTTTAAATGGCTTTTTTCTTATTAGGTTTTGAATAATAATGCTCTTTTAGCTTTTTGCTTCTTAGGTAGAATTTGAACTTAAGCTTTGAATGTTTTTAATATGACATGTCTTTAAAAAGTTGGAAACTTCCAAGGCTGGGTGCAGTGGCTCACGCCTATAATCCCAGCACTTTGGGAGGCCAAGGTGAGAGG